TATTGATCACTGGACTGCAGCAGTTAAATAGCAATACCTGCCACCAGGAGCTTCTGCTTGTAACACGAGCTCCACTTTCAGAACAAAGAGGAAACCTAAAGCATTTAAAGTGAAGTAAGGACATTAAAAAAATGAAATTAAGAAAGCAAAGCAAAGCTGGAGGTTAACATCTGTGTGTCAGAAGTCCACCACTAAAATCAAGCTAAAAGCAGTCATAGATGTGGCACCAGTGTTCTGAGAGTGATTTATGGTGGAGAAGAAGGCCTCGTTTGAAGGCTTTCACGTCTAGGTCTTGTGCTTCATGATGATGTATGGCACGCTCTCAGCACATGTATTCAAGCTTCTGAGCTAAGACAGGAAATGTAGGAGGCAGCATTAATGCTGACTGTATGAGCGTTTTGTGTGGCGCTAGCCTGATAGGTTGTTGCCGTTCATCAATCCAGTGACAGTCCATAATGGGATGGATGGGATCTGTCCTTTTCACTTCTCGAATGCAGTAATGGGGCTTCTTTTGTTTTCCCTCTAATCTCTTAAGTGCTTCTATTAGGAGCATTTATGTTGATGAGCAACAGAAACGACTGCGTCAGAGCGAGCGAGATGGAAAAAATACACAAATTTATCCCAGCTTTGTCCGACTTCAAGATGAGATTTTCTTAAATAGATGAGGAAAGCGTTGCAGGTTTTCCTCCCTCCCACAACAGCAGCATTGTTCCAAAATAAAATAAGTGTTTGCATAGTTTCATTGCTGGTCACAACCCCCCCCACCCCCCACCCCCCGCTGCACACAAACTGCTGCGTTTGAAAGGTGTTGCTAGGATACGGCCCCACATAGAGATGAAGTCCCCTCTGTACGACTTTCTTGCAGCTGTAGAGCAGACATTACTGAATGTTCAACACATTGGACACACAGTCGAAGTTATAGGATGTCTGAGGCCATCTCCCGTGTGTACTTTCATTTGTGTGCATGCAGTTTACATTGGCTGTGATTCTGGTCATTCAAAGCTGTACCCCCCCCCCCCCCCCCCCCCCGAGTGCATTGTAACCCATTTTCTGCAATAAGACTGTATTTGTCCTGTGAGCTCTGATATCTCACTCCTTGTGTCATGCGTCTGAGTCTCCGCCAGCTGACACCTCAATCTGTTCCCGTAGAATCAATAGAGTCTGCCTCATGTTCGATTACTCTCTAATCAACGCTCTCCAATTAGGCCTGACCTGAGAAATAAATTGAACAGGTTGGTTTTTCACAGATTTGATGCTTCAGCGGCGTGAAGCCAGAAAATGACTACATGTGAGTTTGACAATAAAGAAAATGATGTTTGGCTGCTGAGGCAGATTTGAAATAGTCTGAGACCATTTGTTCAGGCTTAGAATGAGCATCTGGCTAAACTCTTTGACTTTTATTGAAAGCTTGATAAAAAATGAAACAAATTCTTCTAATGACTTGAAACATTTTGGATCAGATTTAAAGTTCAATGAATTTGGATTTTCTAAAATCTGATTCTGGTGCTGATTGATTTTCAAAAATGACACCAAATGATGACTATTACACTATGAATAGTTTGCATCCTAATTTACTAGTACAGCATGCAATCATTGGTAAAGGGAATAGCTCAAGGCTCAGAACTAATTGATTAGAAGCATTTACATTTGAAGTAATTAAGAAACTCAAAGCATTTCTCATATTACACAAACTACTGCTCATATTTATGATGACTAAACACTCTACAGGCTTGTTGAGAGGCCCCAAGGGGCTCAGAGGTGGAAACTTGAAGGAGAATGCTCCTCCGAATTTTTACGATAGATCACAATTATGTGATATAGACAACAGAAAAAAGCAGTTATTGAGCTGATCACATTTATCAACCAGGAACTGAACACTAACCCACTGAATGGGACTGCATACTAGGATTTGTAGTTTTGGAAGTCAGTCCCTGCTCCCACTGGTAATGAAACTGGACCGTACCAGATCTTCACCCCACTCAATGGGCCAGAGTATCACCGTAAACCTGTGTTCGCTAGGCCTGTTATCAGATCTTACACAGCTGCAGCAGGCCTGGAAGGAGTTGAGCTGTAAATCCAGTGAGCCTTCAGTTTTAACCAATAATAAGAGACCTTACTGAAGATAACAGTTTACCACAAAGTTATGTGGACTCTGAAAAGAGGTGAACATGTGTCCTTAAAGTGTATGTTTTATTGGCAATTGCTAAATTATTACAGGATCCAATTCAACTCAGTTTATTTGTATGGTACCAAGACACAACAAACGTCTTAGGATATTATACAAAAATCAGTCATCCTAAAGAAGCCAGCAGATTGTGTTGAATCACTTCATCACAATATCTCATTCTTAGCAGGGCATTGGCGACAGTGGAAAGGAAAAACTCCCTTTTAACAGGAAGAAACCTCCAGCGACAGGCGGCCATCGCCTAGACCGACTGGGTTTGTTGGGAAAGGAGAAAGACACAAAGAAACACAGAAGTTGATAAAAAGCATAATAGAGACAAGGATTTTAACCAGCAGATTACCATTGGCTAACCTGTTGCACCGTTTAGTAGACGGTTTAGAGCAGTGGTTTTCATCTTAGCTTCTGCTTCACTAAAATAACAATTGCAGAAATTGTGACCCCAAATATTATTGGTTTATGCAGTTAAATCTTTGCTTTTTTTGTTATTTAAGTTTTAAATTTAGCCCTTTTGCTCAGGAACCCTTGTAGCCTATTATATTACTGGAAACACTTGTTTTGGTTTTAACTTTTAGAGACAAGATATAAGAATGATTTTTCTAAGTACAGCATTTTAAAATAAATGCTACATCTTAAACATTTTCCTGTATGCACAAAAGTGAGGGTGAGTGAGGGTACCAGGCTGACTCTGGACTGAGTTAAATAGCAGACTTCAGACTTCCTGGAATTAGCTTGATCAATGATGGGAAAACATGCTGGTTGAGTTTTGATTGATAGTGGGTATTGATCAAAGAGGTCCAGGATTGCGGAGCTTCTTCCAAGGCAACATCATTGATGGAATGTCTGGTTTGGACCCACAAACTGTTAATACAAATTAGTTAGTAAAAACTTGTAAAGTGTAAAGTTAGCATAAAACTCTGGTCAACATCTGCCAGCGTTGTGCTAAAATAAAGCACTCCTATTTTAAAAGTCACAACACATTGTTCTGCCCACAAATATGCCTGTTTTTAATTCATCAGGTGTGTCCAGGCATGGCTGATGATGTCGATTTACAAAAAAGGCAAATTTTTCAGTTAATGGATTAATCCATCTGTCCTTACTCTGACCTACATCTGTAAAGAAATAAACCAATAAATCTCACCTGAACTCATTGAGAGATAAGTGTTCATCTTCTTGCTATTGCTGTCATTTCTTCCGTCGAGGGTCCTTCCGCAGACAGCTGTTGCTTTTCATCTTTTTTTTTCTCCACCAGGCTTGAGGCTGAGCTGGTGGAAAGATCTTTGAGGAAGTGAGCTTTCTGGATATGTCTCATAAAATTGTCTAAATGTCAATCATCCAGCATCAACCTATCAAGAAGCAAACTCCTTTGAGGCTGACAGGAAGCAGAGACTTGGCTGCCTCTGGTGTGAACAAAGGAACTGATTGCTTGGTGATCCTAACCCAGTTAAATACATTCTGCCACATGAGATGTTGTTTACAGTGAGGATGAGAGTGATAAAAACCATGTTCAGAACTTCTGAGATTGTTCATATTTCTCTTCACTTACATGGTCTCTGAAGTACATGGGGGAGTTTCTTGTCTGCGTTTGTTCCAACCATAATTGGATGAGTTCTTGGTGCGGTTGGGGTTTGTCCAAACTGGGAATTGCAGAGTTTAGAAAATAGGCAGAGCTTCTTGAGTGTGGGCGGAGTTTAGCAAAACATTGATTGGTCACATTGACTTGTCTTGTGGGGCAAGGTAAAAGATGAAGCAATGGTAATACTGTGAACATGTAAACATGGGTTTTGACTTCAAATTTGACTAGCAGCTTCCTGTCTCGAGTTATGACTAATACTATATCCAAATTCCAAAATGGCAATCTTTTTCCAGGAGAGTTAGGGCTGCTTTAACCAAGCTGAATTGCTACATGCCCATCCACATGTACGGTGTTCAACATTCATGTGACTATAGCACCTTCATGTCTTGTGGTATGAGTAAAATTAATGTTTATACATAAAGTTATAGGCACCTTCTGACCATTTCCAGCATTCATCTAACCAAATTCTTATGCCTTTTTTAAACCCAACCCAAAATAGTCAATCCAACCAATCATGTCTTTACCAGAATCCTCCCACAAACGTCAGACAGACCAATCATGTTTTTGACAAAATCCTCTCTCACACTAAGAAACTTCTACTTAGTGACTGAGACCCCTTTCTTGACAAATTTATCAATTTCAAAGGAAATCAGAAAAGTTATTTGTGAAGATGTACCTGTTAAAAAATGGATTTAATTTAGATTCTGAAGATTATTTTCTATTTTATTTAGTGGAATCCCAGGATAGTGTCTCTTGTGGACATGTTTTATGCAAATCTCAACCATTGCTTTAATCAATATTTTCAGTTTTTTTTATTTTACCAGCACAGATTGCAGATTTTATTGAAAATCTAAAAAAATAACGGATGCACCTGTACAACTGGGTAACGTTTGGAGAAAACTTGATTCAAGACGGCTACCACAGCTAACTGACTTTGAAAACACACGCGGATGTAACTCGGTCAATTTTATAAATAGTATGTGAAAATATGATGTGCTATTAGCTGGGAGTCACACAAAACACACATTTTGAGCTTCCACAGTTGACCCGGGGGGCAGAGGCCAACACAGTTATTTGATGAACCAGTAAAACACATTTTGTGCAGCTGGACTGTGTTTTTTTTCATTATTTCAAATGTCAAGGAAGGGTTTAAGAATTTCTTAATACATGTACAACTAAATGTTCTTCTGTAATGTGTTCTGTGTTTCTGATACCACCCCCTTTCAATTTTTGATTCCTCAGGGAAAACCAAAAGGTTCTGCTCATGTTTCACCCACTGAGCTTCTAGCTTCGACCCCACCAGGTGGTTCTCACTTCAACATCATGCTGCGCCTCCTCCTGCTCCTCCATCTCCTCGTCCTTTCTCTCTCACCGGCAGGTCTGTAGAATTCAGTTGGAATAAAAAAAGAATTGAATTAAATCAGAGCAAGTGTTAAAACGTGTTTTGAATCCCTGCTGTGCTGGGAGAAGCATCAAATCTTAAAACATCACAGCCAATCAAACTGCTTTTGTATGTCTTCATGGGTGCTTTCATATGATTTGCAAAGAGCTGGACTTGACATGAAAACATTAAAATTATAAATTGAATTGATGCAAGCAAGTACAACGTAGATGACAATTAGCTTTTCAAACATTTCCTGTGAGTAAAACATTGAATTTGAAAAGATTTTATACAATTATGGCCAAACTCATCAAATATCACCATCCTAAAACCCACTCGACAAAAATCCTCACAACACCAACAACGTTTGAATGAAACAGGTTTCTTTTTCGTGGCGGCTACAAAAACAGATGAAGAGTTTTCTTTTTGATTTCAACAACAAAGCATAGAAATCTCCCTGGTGGAAAACTGCTTGTGCAGTATTGAATGTGTCAAAACTGGGTTGTCAATTTAGCTCTTAATGAAGACAAAGTGTGAACAAACTGTTAGCTTTAATAAATGTAGTGAAAGAACTGATGCTGACAGGGATGAGGGCTTTAAGGAAATACAGATAATTACATTAGAATGATATGATGTAACCATGAAGTCAGCTTTAATTCAATTTAAGGCAAATAATTATGCAAAGGGTAAGTAAAAAAGGCAGGAGTTTTTAACCAAAGTTACATATCTGACAGGCGCAGAAGGAAAGAGGCATGTGCCTTTTGAGGGCTTAACGTTTGCAACTGTCTCTTCGGCATGCTGCTGTGCAATCAGCTGTGCTGGAAACAAAGCAGAGTGGACAGAAAACAGTACATCTGAAAAATGACCTGTCTAGAAAAGCAACAACCTCCTTTGTGTGTTCCCATGCCTCGAGCAATTCATATACAAAAGAATAAAAAAGGACAAATACAGAGCTTTTCACTACACCTTTTTCATCAAGATGCTCAAATTTATCAGACATAGATTTATTGGGCCTCATGCAAGAACATGTTCGTATTCTTATCCTAAATTTCTCTTACTTTTGTTCGTACAAAGGGTTCGTACGAACATGTCACGT